GGCGTTGGCGTTGGCGTTGGCGTTGGGGTTGGGGTTGGGGTTGGGGTTGGGTTGGGGTTGGGGTTGGTGTTGGTGTTGTTGTTGTTGTTGTTGTTGACGTTATTGCTGTTGTCGTCGTCGTCGCAGTTGTAATCACACTAGGATAGGAGTACATAGCCAGGTAAAATTGTGCACCCGGCCCCCGCCCAAATCCCACACAATTTTCGTTCAATCTTCACGCAACAAACTGAGGTTGCCGGCGTCCGTTCGCAAGCTCTGCTGCAAGCTTGGTCTTCTTGACATCAGCGTCCTGCCCAATTCCATAAGGTTGAGGGGGACTGGAGGAGCAGAGAGTCCATTCATGTGTGAAAAAGTCGAGATGCTGGGCTCCGAAAAGATTGCAAAATCAGCAGGGCTTCGCACAGCTGGCTGCAGCTGCAGGGCTGTAGAGCACCCACAACTCGGCAAGAAGTGCACGATGGTTGTTCATAGGCATGCGTGCACACAGAATATGGCAAGAATCAGAAACAGAAATGGCAAGAATCAGAAACATAAAATCTGTGCGCTTTGCGGGAACAACGCGAGATGAGTGCTCACCTTCTCTCTTTGCCTCTCCTCATGCGCAATCCAGGCTTCAGAACGGAGTTGACCGCCCCGGCCCTTCAGTAGAGCCTGGGTATTGCACGCCCCCCCACCCCCCTGAGCCGAGCAGATTGTGTTGGAATTGGGCACTTGGCACAGCCCACTTCGCTCGGATCACTCGGCGAGGTAAAGCCGCAGCTCTTTGTGTGGGGCAGAGGCATTGACGCAACACCCATCGTCACACCGCAATGATGCAGAAGAGTACAGTAGTCGTCATGTGGGAAGCGAGGGACGAGGAGCACTCAGAGAAGAACTCGGCGAACTGAGAGAAAAAGGCTGAACACAAAGCGACAGCAGCAGCAGCAGGAGGAGGAATGACGCACCCATCATACAATAGGGACAACCGGATGTTGGGAACAAGGGCTACGAGATGGTGGCAGTTGCAGCAGCAACTGGCTCCTCATCATATGAAAGAACCAACCTGGTCCCCATAGACACTCGGATCTCCGTAAAACCCGTCCTGGAATTCGATCGGGTCCACGTTGATAATGAAGTTCTTGCCCACACCCAGGAAGCCATAGCCTTCTTGCCAACATGAAATGGGCATGTTGTGTAGGTGCCGATTGCTTTCAAGGTTCCAGCTTCAGCTGGCATCGAAGGTTTGGGGCTGTGGGGCTGGCAGAGTGGCTGTTCGAAGCCTGAGGCCCTTTCTTCCAATGTTCGCTCTTCGCATCGCTACTTTGCTTCTCTCCCTACCAGCTCTCCACACCTTGATACTCAAATCTCAACGCTTCGGGCTTCTGTTTCACCAAGAGCGGCACGATTTTAAACCGAACCACAAGAGAACCTCTATGTAAAGCACAAATCCGCCCATACCCCAGGCAGAGGCCTTCGAAGTCACCCGGCGCTCGCTTGGCATCTTGGCGCCAGAAACTGGGCGTGGATTCGCTGAGAAGTGTGGGAGGGGGTTTGGGACTTGGGGCTGAGGGAAGAAGCTGCGGGCCTTGAACTTCGAGTTTGGAGTTGGTTTCCGGTTGCAGCGTCCAGGGCTTTGCCGAGTTTGAGGTTGCATACCGAAGTTTCTGAAAGTTCAAGAGCAAGTTTCGGTTTGGTATGGGGTAATGGGTTTGAATGTGCCTCAAACCCTCGACACAGACTCTTCAATCTTGGCCCCACTCAGCATGCAAGCCAAGCCTCTCTCCCGAACCATCGCTACTTGAATTTTGACAGGTAGCTATCCCTCGTAGTGGCCGATGAAAAGAACGATCTGCAGCCAGCCCTCGAGAGGGACCTGCCGGCAGTCGCAGTACTGGTTGAAAACTCCGGGTGCAGCTTCGTGGATGGGGTTTCGGTGTGCCGGATTCTGGAATTCCCTTCTCGATATTCTGGCTTGAGGTTCTCAGTTTAGGCGGTAGCGGCTCCAGGGTCTAGGCTCAAACGGTATGTTGATAAGAGACGACTGGTACAAAGCATGAGCGAGGCCAGGATGCCGGGCCTGTGATTCAGGACCTACAGTAATACTACAGGATGACGGTGATGATCCTGATGATGATGATGTTGTTGATGATGATGATTGCCATGATGGTGACGACAACGATGGTGCCTTGTATGACAATGGTCATGGCTACAGGGAAACAACTGGGCGCAACGCGATTGGTCCAGCAACAGCAGCAGCAGGAGCAGGAGCAGGAGGGGGAGCTGGAGCTGGAGCAGGAGCAGAGGCGGCAGCAAGAGCAACAGCAGAAGCAAGAGCTGCAGCAGGAGCAGGAGCAGGAGCAGGAACAGTAACAGGAGCCGCAGCGGAAGCCTTAGCCGTTGCCGTAGTAGTACGAGTAGGAATAAGAGTAAGAGTAGGAGGACGAGGAGGAGGATGAGGAGTAGGAGTAGGAGAAGTAGGAGGAGTAGGGGAGCAGGAGTCGGAGCAGGAGTAGAAGCAGTAGCAGCAGCACCACCACAGTGCTAGTGCCAGTGCTATCGTTGGCAGTCGTTGTAGTAGTCGTAACACATTATTTCAAAGAGACTTGCACACATGCGTTTAAATTGATCTTCCCATCCCGAGGCTCGTCTGTTAGTGGTTGTTTGAGCTTGCAATACGGCGCACAGGCCTTCGAGATCGCTGCGATGCCATGGGGCATCTCCGAAAACTTGAGGCCCTGTGGCGGCGGTGTCACTGAATAGGGCTACTGAATAGGGAAACAAGCAATGGCTTTCTCAGAGCTCGAGTTGGGTTGTTTAGTTAGCATGAAGCTCCCGTGCCATGGGCTTCCAACCGAATCCCTCCCCCCTCCCCTAGCACTTGAGACCCAACGCAGGATGCTTTGGGATGTCGGCGCTTTGGGATCTTTTGATGATTGAGGGCCTTGAGGGTTTGGGCTCTCACGCTTTGAGATTATCGGCTGTAGTCTAGAGCTTCGTGCACCGGGCCGGCAAACTTTGGGGTGTCAAGACCTCCGCCCAAGCCTAAGCCCAAGGGCCTAGAGCCCCCGACCCCCTCAAAGTTATGAAGATTGACGGGAAATTCTCAACCCGCAACAATCGGACCCGGAAACTCAAACCCAAACCATGAACAGCACAGGACCGAGACCCCGTCCCAAACCCTTAGGCCCCAGGCAAAAAAAACAAACACAAAAAAAACACAATCCCCCTGCAACTAAAACAAAAACAGACACACACAGAGCTCGCTCGCCTTCTCGGGGGAGAGGTAGCCGGGCCAGCGGAAGTACTCCGGGACGATGTAGCCCACGCAGGCCAGCATGCAAATGCGCCTTGTGTTTAGGAGATCTGTAGCGAAAGATATCTCAAAACTCTCGCTACCCAGCTGCATCCAATCAACCGCGGATGTGATTCGGGGAGTCGTATCACGTTAACTTTCGCTCAAAGCCACCCCTGACAACAGGTATATCATATATCTGTTTAGGTTTAAACCTAAACCCACCAGCACTCCGAACCCTCAACCCCTCAAACTCCATGTCCAAGCTCAATGCTGCACCCACCTAGAGATTTCGAAACAGAAAACGGTAACAGGCTACAAATGGATGGGGATGCAGAGGCTGGTGAGTTGCGGCTGCTTCGAATTCGGGTCAGATCCAAGACTTTACTATCAAACTTGCTGATGCTTCGGTCTCCCAATCACACTGAAGCCAACCCCATAATCCATAAAAAAAACCACTCATTGTTGTTCAGAACTCTTTGCCGACTGCGATTAGCAACGACCCTCGCGTTTAAGATTCAGGGCACAAATTCCCGAAAGCTCAGGGCTGCACCCGTGCTTCAGCTCGACAGCGCGTCGGCGCTTGAAGGTGTCCTTGGGTTCGGTGGCTTTGAGAGTTTGGGGTCGCGGCACCTCGGCTTACAGGACAGCAAGCCTGAAGGACACATATAACGCAGTCAGTATTGGCGGTTTTCCGTATTTAGCATGTGAAGGTTTTAAGATTCAGAGCATCTGAGGGCTTTGAGGTTACGCTTCAGGGTGTGAGCCGGGGTCACCGCCTCTGTGCCGGGATTGAAGGGTTTTCGAATGTGGGGCCCCGGACTCTAGTCTCGCGGCATTTGGCTTCCCTTCAAACCTCCGAAACAAGGCCAGTATGGGTCCTTCAATGCGATCTACACGCATACCCAATCGCAGGGGAATTTCAACAACCAGAAACCCTGCTTAAGTACCGCACAAGCCTGACAAGGAAGGCCCTTTCCAAGCCAGAAGTCCATGTCGCCATCGGCAGAGAGGCCCAAGGGGTCCCAAAATCCGACCTCGAACAGACTGGGTCAGTAGCAGGAAGGGCTGCTGGGCAAAGGGAGCCTGTTCACGCGGACTTGGTCATGGTTCGGCCATTGATGCTTCGGAGAAACGGCGGTGATCAAGGTTTGGCTATGGATGCTCGGGGGAAAAAGGATGCACTGGAAGTACGGATGCCAAGATGTGTAGAAACACAGCTGCTGCTACTGCTACTACTACTACTACTACTACCACCACTACTATTACTGCTACTACTACTACTACTACTACCACCACTACTATTACTGCTACTACTACTACTACTACTACTACTACTACTACCTGCTACT